TGGCATCCCAGGTATTTCCCTATCTCATGCTGATTGGTGGCTGCTAGGGGGCTGCTATGGATCCCCACCTAGCCTGACTGAGTCAGGGACACCTGTCGCAGCAGATCTCTCCTGTAGATAAACAACTTAGCAGGGTGGGAATGTGCCTAGGAGTGCTCTGTGGGTTTTTCCAAGGACAAAGGCCATGTCCCTTCCTTGGACAGCTTTGCTCTGAGATAGAGGCTGGCTTTTCACAGCAACAATCAGGACTGAGGCTAGCCCATACTAACACTTTTGTACAAACTTGAAAAATGACAGTTGGATCTGTCAGAAAACAGTCATCTGGAGCATACCCATCTTCAATATCCTCAGTGTGCATGGTGCCTACAACCATGTGTGGGGACTCCATCAGGTGCCTCCTTCCAGCTATCCTGAAGGATATATTGTGACCACTCCTACTTCCTGAATTCCTGTCTTCCTTTGGCAACTGTGATACCACACCACAAATTCTTGAGGCTGGGTGGGTGTCCTCTCCCAGAGCTTTGCTCCTTTCTCATTCCTTCAGGCTCTTCTTCTTTAATATTTATTTCATTTCAGAGTCCTGTCTGCTTTGTCCTCCTTTGTTACTTAATTCATCTCTCTGAAAGATGTCAATCACTTTCATTCAACATTTACTTGTGCCCTCTCTGTCAGGCATTGCTTTAGGCACTGACCACTTGTAATTTCTAAGTACACACCCCGCCCGATGAATTACAAATGTGTCCCTCCCGGGGTGATGTATACAACTGCCTCCTTGAACTTGACCTTGACCTTGGATACCTCCAACTTTAATTGTTGAGAACTGAGCTCATTATTCTCCTCTCCAGATCTATTCCTCTTCCTGGGTTTTCCTGTTCTAGCAAATCATGCACAAATAGTTGCCTGCACCTATTTGTGCATGACTTGCACAAAGAAAGAAGTCTTATCTCTCTGCTTCCTACCTATGTCCAAGCTTCACTCACTCCTTCCCATCACTGTCCCTACCACTCCGGTCTCCACTGCAGTCTAAACTGTTATCATCCTCTCTCTTATAGAAGGCTGCAGCAGGCTCCTACTTCTCACTGCCTCCTGGCCTTCTGCCCGGGCATTCATCCAGGGGACTCTTCCCATGACAAAAGGCTGATGATGTCCATCCAGCTCCCTATGGTTCCTTGGCTCTCAGAATTTAAGGGCTGGGGATGCAGCTCAGTGGTTGAGAGAATTTCCCTACTTCCCTTGTATGCACGAGGCCTTGGGTTCCATCTCCAGCGGTGCAAAAAGAAGAAGGAGGAAAAGAAAGAGAAGAAAAAGAAGAGGAAGAAGAAGAAGAAGGAGAAGAGGAGGAAGAGGAAGAGGAGAAAGAAGATGGAGGAGGAGGAGGAGGAGGAGAAGGAGAATTAAATTCTAATTCTTCACTATGGTTTATAAGGAGAATCATGATTAGGCATCTCTTTCTACTTCTCTGCTTTCATTTCTATCTCCTCCTTTCCTTCATTCTCTTTCACTCTTCCATTCTTCCCTCCCCACCTACTGAACTCCTTTTAGTTCCTTTAACATGTTCTCTTGTAGTCTCTGGACCTTACCTTGCCTCTGCTGGAACAGCCCCTTTGCTGCTCCTCTACCCCTTCACCTACAAACTGAGTTTATTATGACCTGCCCCCAAACTGTTATTCACCTCCTCTCTCCAGGATCAGCAACGCAACCACCGGGGCTGAGGCTAGCCCACACTAATGCTTTCATATGAACTTGGAAAAAATGGTACTATCAAAATAGCACCATTCTTTCCTTCAGGCGTCAACAGAGATCTTACTTTATCCAAGTTGCCTTCCTTGAGCAACTTCAAATCTGGGCAAAGGTCTCCTTTGTGTTGCCAGCGCAAGCCAGCGGCATTTGTCACAGTCTTGGGTAAGTTCCTGTTAACTGGTCTGTTTCCCTCTAAATGTAAGCATTTAAGGAGGCAGAGATCTTGCCTTTCTCTGGGACCTAGCATAGTAACTGGCACACAGTAAGTGTTCAAAAAATAAATGTTGAATAAATGAATAAATAGTTGGAAGAATGTAGGATATGAAATCCAAAAATCTTGGTCCTGACTCCCCACTGGACTTTTGGAAAGTCATTTTTTAATCTCACTATGTAATATGGAGCTAGAGTATGACAATTTTAAAACATGGTCCCAAAGTACTTTGACGTTTTTCCTACCGAGAAGTAGGGCCTATGTCTCCTCCCTTATAAACTGGGCTTTGTAATCTCTTGACCCAAAGAGCATGACAAAAATGTTTTGGCAATTTTGGAGCTCCAATCTTAAGAATCTGACAATTTTCGTTTCATTTCTCTTGGGATGCTTACTTGTAGAACACAGAAGTGCACCGTAGGGAGAGAACTCCCAGTGGAAAAGCCGCACCTGGAAGGAAGCCGAGACATTCCCTTTCATCTTGATTTCTGAAACTTTTTTTTTTTTTGGTGGGGGTACTGGGTATTGAAACCAGGAGTACTCTGCCACTGAGCTAAACTCCCAGCCCCAATCTCTGTAACTAATCTATAAAACAAATGACCTACCATACCTATTCTGGCACAAAGTGTTGTACATATCAAGTGATCAGTAAACACTGTAGGTCTATGCTGGCAGAATCTGTTCACAGAATAACCAGGTTGCTCATTCTCAAATAGGGGTAATTGTAACGTTTGTAAGAGTTATCATATGAGGTATAAAACTTTTAGGCAAAGGATAAAAATAAACAATTAGGTGTAAATCTTTGCAACTACTATACTACTCAAATGCATGACCTCATTAATTTGACAAGTGTGTTTTGTAACAAAAATACAAAGGGAATTAAGCTTAACTATTCCATCTTTCCCATCATCCCTATATTTCTTTGCATTAGTGCTAATGATAGAAAACAAACTATCAGAAAGAAGTGGAGAGAATGCTGTCTCACCTGCTCCCTTTATTTTCTTAAACAAATAGCATAAACAACACACATAATTCTTTCCTTCCTTTTTTCTTCCTTTTGGTACTAGGGATTGAATTAGGGGCAGTCTACCACACAGCTATATTCCCAGCCCTTTTTATTTTTTGAGACAAAGTCTCATTAAGTTGCTGAGGCTGGCCTTGAACTTGTAGTCCTCCTGCCTCAGTCTTCTGGTTGAGTCACAGAGTAAAGTAAAGATGAAAACAAAATGACAGTGAATCCTCTGGGCAACAAATAGACATAGTATTTTTATTTTTTTAATATTTATTTTTTAGTTATAGTTGGACACAATACCTTTATTTTATTTATTTATTTTTATGTGGTTCTGAGGATCAAACCCAGGGTCTCGCATGTGCTAGGTGAGCACTCTACCACTGAGCCACAACCCCAGCCCCAAGGACGAGTATTTTCCTAGGTGCTGCAATATTAGTTTCTATAGCCAGTGTCTACTGATACTTTTATTCTTAAGTTCTCTATCTCTGTTGCTATTTTCAATTTCTTCTCTCCCTCTCTCTTTTTCTTTTTGTTTTAGGGTACCAGGGATTGAACTCAGGGGCACTCAGCCACTGAGTCACATCCTATCCCTGTTTTGTATTTTATTAGAGACAGGGTCTCACTGAGTTGCTTAGCAATTCCCTAAATTGCTGAGGATGGCTTTGAACTCGCGATCCTCCTGCCTCTGCCTCCCTAGCCGCTGGGATTACAGGCATGTGCCACCTCGCTGGGCTGTTTTCAATCTCTTTTTGAACTGTAGTATGGGCTGGGCACAGTGGCCCGCATCTGTAATCCCAGCAACTCAGAGGCTGAGGACGATCCCAAGTGCACAGCCAGCCTCAGCAACTTAGGCCCTGTCTCAAACTAAAACATAAAAGGGTGTGTGTGTGTGTTTGTGGTTTCGTGGTTAAGCACCCCTGGGTTTAATCCAGAGTACCCCCTGCCCCATTTTTTTTTTGAGAGCCCACATCCCATCTCATCAGTCTGGGGTGGTGCCTAGGTGTGGGGATTTGTTTAAAGCTCTTGGATTTATTGCAGCAAAGGTTAAGAACCTCTGGTTTAAACTACTTGGTCCTCCTCTGGCAGTGTTCAGCATTCTCATATAGGTGTAATTGTAATCTTTGGTCAGATTGAATAACATTCTATTTGTCAGGGAGGAGAGAAGCGTGGTTTCACCCACAAACAAGGACCAGTCAGGTCCTGGTAAAGCAATGAGGGGACAAGTCCTGCCTCTAAAGTGGGTGAGGGGACTCCCCCACCCCCACCCAGCCAGCCAGGGACCTAGGGCCCCCGATAATCCAAGTTCGCTGAGAAGTTCAGGGGCATCTAAGTGTGCATTGTGTATACAAGTGAGGCAAAGGTGAGCACTTCGAGCTCTGGTCCATGTGGGTTAACCTTAGAGTCAACCTAAGAGTCTCTCTGGAGTCCAAATCGCAGAGTGGCAGCTGTTCCCGAGCAGGCAGAAAGGAGCGTGCAGGGGGTGCAGGGCAGCCTCCAGAGTTGGGCATGCAAGTCTCTGCGCCAAGACCCAGGTCTGCATGTGGCGCGGTGGGGGCGGCGGTTCTGGGGCACGCAGTGGTCGGTGGTGTGGACTACAAGTCCCGACATGTCTCGGGCAGGGGTGCGCTTGCACAGGAGCGGGGCTAGGAGGCCAGGGCCAGGCGTGCGCAGTGGTTGTTGGGAGTGGCGGGGCGGGTCTTCCCCGGCTGTCATCTGTGGCCCCCGGCGCTCGGGCAGGGGTGGCCGTGTCTATTGGCGGAGAGGCAGGCAGGGCGGGTCGCCGCGAGCCGCTGCGGGCAAGGCTGAGCGGGTGGAGGCCGGCAGCCGGCCGGGGAGGCACAGTCTGGGCTGCTGCGTACCGGTCTGGCCATGGCAGCGGCACCTCTGAAAGTGTGCATCGTGGGCTCGGGGAACTGGTGAGCGGAGGCGGGCTGGCGGCGCGGGCTCCGCCTCCAGGAAGCCCCTTTCCCTGGCGGTCTAGAGCTGCGCTCCCCGCAGCAGCGTGGGCACCGGGCACCGCGCGCGGGGAGGCGGGGTGGACGACCTCGGGGCCAGGCTGGGCACTGCGCGCCAGGGGAGGCCGCACCGAGGTCCTAGCCGGGAAATCTCTGGGCCCTCGTGCCCGCGGGGGCAACGCAGACCGAGGGCACCGCGCACCCATGGGCACCTGTCCGCGCTTAGGTAGCCGCGCGGCGAGCGCACTGAAGCCACCTGCTCACCACGCCCTGATGTTTTGCGCAATCTTCTGAGGTCGTTCTCAATTCTCCCTACCGATCGCCTGGGTCGAGGAATTGAAGGAGGCCCAAGAATTAGTGTAGTTTTGATGTTGGGCAGACCGAAGCACAGAGGGCTTGTTATTCGGGTCTCTGGCGGGGCAAGCTCTGCCCATTAAGGTATGGTTCTCATCTCCGCTTCTGATAACGGCCAGTATCTTGGTAACGTGGTATCAGGAAGAAGATCCAAGTTCCAACGGGCCTTGTTTCCCCGGGGACCTTGAGAGTTCTTCTATGGGGAGATGTTTGCAAAGCTTTGCATTTCCAGGGCTTGATTTGACTTTAACCTTTATAAAGCACTATGTGCAAGGCGCTCTTGCACTTACTTTACACGTGTCAGCTCCTTAGTAGCTCCCTTTATCGAACTCACATGGTGTGATTCTTTGGTGTGTTTGGGTGAATGCAGAGGAGCATGGGGAGGAAAGGAGGCAGAATATAGCCTTGGCATTTTCAAGCTCTTTATCTTTGCTTCACTTTTCTTCCCACTTCTGAGGGAGTGGTACAGAATCATTTGGAGTCACTGTGCCCTTTCCCTTTCAGTGCGTTTGTTTACCTGTGTTTCTGTGGCCTGACTCACATCCCGGTTCAGCCTTCTAGAAGTGCTGCAGGCATGGGCACATGGTATTTGGTCTCGGACTTACTTTTTTAATACAGAGAAAAATACTTCTCTGAAGAAACCTGAACCTGGTTTTCCACTCTTCCATCCCATCAAAGAATGAACTTTCTCTGAACCCCTATTGCTGATCTCTGTCCATGCACTGAAACGATTTAATTATTGGTCTCTACTCCTTCCTCCCCCACTTGAGATTGAACTCAGGGGTGTTCTCCCACAGAGCTACATCCCCGTTCCTATTTAATTATTTAGAGGCAGAATCTTGCTAAGTTGGGAGGCTGGCCTCAAACTTGAACGTGTGATCTTCCTACCTCAGCCTCCTGAGTAGCTAGGATTATAGGCCAGTGCCACCCAGCTTCACTGCCCAGCTCAAGGCTAACATCTACCTTAGTGCCCTCCAAAATGCTAAGTAAATGCTAAATCAATGTCTGAAAACTACTTATTTATTTATTTTATTTATTTTTGGTGCTGGAGATCAAGCCCAGGGCCTTGTGCATGCAAGGCAAGCACTCTACCAACTGAACTATATATCCCCAGCCCTGAAAACTATTTTTTAATTTTTATTTTTGGTGCTGGAGATAAACCCAGGGCCTATGCCATGCTAAGCACATACTGTACCTTTGAGTTATACCCCATCCCCCAAAGTAATTTTAAACCTCGTATTGTATTTGATTAGGAGCTCATTTACTTTTTTTTGTGTATGTGTTTGTATAGTGCTGGGGATCAAACCCACAGCTTCACACATAGTAGGCAAGCACTCTGATACCCCAGATCTTTATTTTTTATATTTATTTTTTAGTTGTAGTTGGACACAACACCTTTATTTCACTTGTTTATTTTTGTATGTGGTGCTGAGGATTGAACCCAGGGTCTCCCAAGTGCGAGGCGAGTCGAGTGCTCTACCCCTGAGCCACAACCCCAGCCCGGACCCCAGACCTTTTTTTTTTTGAGCCAGGGCATTGTTAAGTGGCTGAGGCTGGCCTTGAACTTGTGATCCTCCTGCCTCAGCCTCTTTACAGGAACTACAGTTTTTGTGTTTTTTTTTTTTTTTAAATAAACTAAAAGGTACAATGAAACATCTCCCATCCACTTTTATCCCCCCAGGAACCTTCTGAAGGAAAATCAGTGTTGATCTCTTCTGACCTTTCTGGAGGAATTCCGTCAGACACAAGTGAATGTTTATATGTGTTCTTTTCTCCCTTTATTCTACAAATCAAGAGTACTGGGCACTTTTTTTTTCAACCAACAAGGGAAAGTTGTGCACGTTTCATGGAGTCAGTACCTATCCAGTGCAGAGCTTAATTCAGAGGTTTCAGCTTGACTTTGCCAATTTGGGTCTCAAGGTCACTTCAATAAGATGTCAGCTGCCCTGTTGGACATGCTACTGGTAAAGCACCCATTTAGCCACATGTTCTTTTAAAATTAGTTTCCCCTCCTATAAAATTCCATGGATGACAGCCCTCTTTCCTAATTTAGAAGGTGCAGGTAAAAGTGGCACAGCTTTGCCATGCTGGATTTGAGCCCGAGTGATAGTAGTGAAGCGAACCTCCTTACCCTCCACTGAGATTTGGCTGCAGGCCCCTGGCTTCTTCATTCTGATGGACTTGACTGTTTTCTTGGCCCACTCCAGCCTGGGGAAATGCACTAGAACTTGGCCAGTGACTCTGAAGCAGAGCAATTGAGAAATAAGCCCATAGTTAGGGCTGGGTGCCTGGCTTCATTAATCACAGGATCAGACAGGAACAGATGTTGGCATCTCTGCCGTTGCCTTGGTTGGGTACAGAGCCACTCTAGTCCTAGAGAGAGGATCACAGCCTCCCCAGAGAAATTCAGGGACTTAGGAGCTGAGTTCAAGCCATAGAGCCCCCAAAGGGTACATGAAGTGTTCAGTTATGGTTCAGTAGATATTGGAGTGTTTTTCTCAAGTAGTTACTGTATTCTTTACAGCAATACACTAGACAGAGTCCCTGCCAGTAGGAAACTTACCTTCAGGGCTTGGAAGATAAGATCGAAAGAAATATAATGTGGAATGGAGATTTGTCACAAGGTTAAACGTTACATTTTAAATAGTATTTCTTAAAGAGTACATTTTTTTGAAGACCACTTGTACCTGAATTACCACTGAAATTAGATTTGCTGAATCATATTCCCTGAGGGTAGGAAGGATTTTTTTCCCTAAGGGACTTTAGCCTTTCATTAATAAAATATATATCTAGAAGCTGGATTTACCCATCCAGATCTGGTCCCTAGCTCAGGAACCTAAATGTTCCTTGAACAATATTTACCCTGGGGACTTTGAAGTAGATCCCGCTGCTTATATAAATAAAGGTGTTGTTACTTATAAGCTCATAGTTGAAAGGCAGCTGTAACTCACATGGAGCCTCCCCCAGGTCACCCGTCATCTGTGGCAGGGAATCCAGCTGGCTTGCCAAGGCCCTTCAACAAGGAAGGACCTGGGTGGGAAGGTAAAGCGAGTTGTGTAAGATGGCCTACTCCTGTCCTTTGGTCAACCTTTTCCTCCAGATAATTCAGGGACAGAAGGCTGGTGTGTCTGGCTGAGCCCTTTGGTCCCACCCATTGTGAGGGACAGGGAAGGGTCACTTAACATGCCTGACTTTCCATGCCCTGTCACTTGTAACTTGGCAAAAACAAAAGCTTGGCAGATTCTTCCAAAGATGTTACAGTTTCTTTCTCAGCCCCTGTGAAGATCACCCAGACACAGGGCAAACCACGGTTCTAAAACTGAAACCTCAGTTATATTTACTGCCAAACCTCTGTAATGGGAGCATATGTCCAAAGACATAGCCCCAGCCTCTTTTGTAAGGCAGGGTCCTGCAGTAGGATGAGGGGCCCAGATTTCCACCCTAGTCCCCTATTTGGCAGCTTCAAGTCCTTGGCAAATGGCTCCTATAAATGATTGCTTATACTATTGGTACCTGCTGTCTAGGATTTTGTTTAGAATTGTTGCTAAAAGCAGAGAAGATCAGGGAGGAGATTAGGAAGAAGAAAGTTAGGGAAAAGAAGCTCAGGGAGGAGAAGGTTGGGAAAAAGAAAAACATGTATGTTTCAAAGCCACAAGAGATAGAGCCAACGCGTCAAGTGAAACCTTGTTACAGGATTACATGAGATGATCCAGGGCGAGTCAGTGGTGGCTAGCGCTCAGTCAGTGTCCACTGCTGTTACCATTATTAGTTTCATCATTCTTGAGCCATCCCAACATGAAGTCACAAAATGGACCAGATTGGAATCTGGCCAAGTAGTACAGGCAGAGGCTGGGAGAGGGGACAAGAAGAGTGACTGCTGCACAGCTGGAGGAGTTTCCCCAGGAGTGACCTTGTTTTCACATTAGCCCACAGCCTGACATCTTCCTCAGGCTGAAAGGTCAGGGCAAGTGCTGGCCCTCTTTGCACTGATGCCGGAAGCAGGACTTAACTCTGCTAGAACCTACAAAATGCACCACCTGAGCTCATCATTCACCTCTGCCATCCCTTTACCTGTGCTATTCCATTTCTGCCATGATGCATGCTACCCAGAGATCTAAGAAACACTCTGAGCAACTAATTTAGCTCCTCTGTGGTCAGAAGTAATTGCTTCCTTCCCTGTAAACAGGCCACACTGACACTCTTCTGCTTTGGTAGCTGGAGGGAGAATTTGATGACAGGGTAGGTTAGAGCTGTGAGGATATTCAGGGTCCCCTCCTGGTCTGGGGCAGGAACATTCATACACATACAGCATAATTTAAAAAAGGAATTGATGAAGCCAGGCTGTGGTGGCAACTGTACAACTGTAATCCCAGCAACTCAGGAGGCCAAACCTGGAGGATCACAAGTTTGAGGCCAGACTCACAACTTGTCAAGACCCTGTCTCAAAATGAAAAACAGGGGATATAGCTCAGAGGTAAAACAGCCCTGGGTTCAAACTCTAATACAAAAACAAACAAAAGAAGTGGCACTTAATGACCTGTTTATCACCTCCCCAACCTATTCTAACATAAAAATCACAAGGACTACTCTAGAAGTAGGAGTGCTCTGTTTTCTTAACCCCCCTCATGTTTCTTCATTCTTCTCTTCCATTTCCTCCTCTCCGTTAACAGGAATCATAATAATTTTCTGTTTATCAGGTATGTAGATTACTTCATTTTAAACCTGGTAGATTAAAAACAGGTTAGAAAAAACTTGCTCAAGGTCAACACTTAATAAGGTAAAGTTCAAATGCAAGGTCCTTCTTGCTCCAGAAACTCTGTTTCTATAAATTCCTGACATTTTCAGTGAGAGACATACTTAAACCTGAGGACAGATCTCCTTGTCATAAAAATGTTGAGCATCTACCTTTCTCATGTAAGTTTAATCTAACGAATATTCCATTTATGAGAAGTAAAACTGAATGAAGCCTTAAAATGGGTCAGTTTCCCTCCAAAGCAGGTACCCATTCTTCTGTAGATCACAAAAGATGATCATAGTTTACTTTGTGTGTGTGTGTGTGTGTGTGTGTGTGTGTGTGTGTGAGT